GTTATATTTAAAGAAGTACTGTTATGATAAAGATACTAATTTGGCCGGAAATGTTTTGCTGGTCTCTGCTAGTAAATTATTACAAGATTATGACATTTAAGAACATTTCAGGGAGCATACAAATGCAAAATTACATACTTTGTTATTTAGAATTTTCGCTCACAGTTACATAAAGGGCTAGTTGCACATAGCTGTTGCTACTTTTGAACTGATAGACTAGAGAGAAAGTGATTAGTGAACAGCACCCACCGCCAACTCTTGGAATACTCTTGATTGATCAAATAATTGGATTTTACCGTCAATCATAGCGCACACATAGTCCTAAATTCCGAAATGTGTATTTTGCAACAACGGGACATGAACAGTGATTCTTTGAATTCTCAGTCTGTGCGCGTTAACTGCTAGGCCACGCCTGGTCCATTATTAACCAGGTTAACCAGTTTTGTATAAAAAAGGATTATAATTACTACTATGAATATGTGTTGAAACCCGTTTTGTTATGACACCAGCAAGAGAAGCCCCACCTATTCTACAACATTCCGTCAAGAAATGTAACTATGCCTCAAGACAGATTTAAATTTAGGATTGGAAAAAGATAACTAGCATATTTCTATGTGACCAACACTCTGAAACTGGTTTAATATGGAAGCATGCGACGTGTTTCCCATCCCCTTATTTATTTATTTTTTTTAATTTATGCACATACAAGTGTATGTATTTTTAATATAGAACGTTGGCCAAGGAAGTAGCTAAGTTCTTATTGTTCTGGGTCATTTACCTATCGTATCATGTGCGCTTTATAATTGAAAATATTTCTATAAAATCTAAAGTAGACAGAAGAAATCCTTTCTACTAGTAGGTCAAGTGATACCTTGGGGTTGCATCTTCCTTTATTTTATGATGGAAATGAAGAACAATGACGTGAGTAGTGCACACGCCCTGACAAGAACACCATTATTGTTTCGTGTATATAATGCTAGGTCTTTTCAGTTTGGAACAGATTTTTGATTCTTCACAAAGATATCTAGAAACACGAGAAAAGGCGCCATCCTTCCTTCACACTCGACATTTTGATTTCTTTGTGTCTTGAATAAAGATTGTTTTCACATCATTCTATTTCTTGTTCAAACTCTTTTTTTTTTTACAAATAAGCCAGAGTTAGAAAATACAGTTTAACTCTGCATAGTACTTTTTGATGAATTTTCTGTTATTCTAAAAATCCTACCCTATTACTCTAAAAGAAAATCAGTTTAACTGGGAATACAAAACTGGTAAAACATTCTAAAGTTAAAGGATTATCCAATAGATTTATTATATATTTGCAGAATAATAAACACTCCAATACAAATAAAATCAATAAAGGAAAAGGGAAAAAGTAATGCTAATTTTCAAATACTATTGCCTTACTTTTAAATGTTTGCAACGCCATTTCTTTGAAAGCAAAACATTTCTGATACCTATTAATACTTCAGACAGAGAAAAACAACACTATTATTGACGTTACTCGTTTTTGTGTATTATGGTTTCTTATGCTAAGAAAAAGATAATTAAATATGTTATTTTTAAATAAACATTAAGTGAAATTTAAAAATGTCAAGTCATAGAGCCTAATTCAGTACTTTTAAATCTAAATATCAGAAAAGAACTAAGGTATCATAAACTGTCCTGTGTACGTAAGAAATATTAATAACTTATTTTAATCCTAAAATAAGAAGATTTTACTATCCGTTAATATATTAACTTTATTCGGTTACATCATCTTCCTAGTTATAACATAAAAATAGAGTATGGTAGCCAAATTTATTAGATGTCAAAACATGTTCTCAGTTTTACTGAACATTCAATTGTAGTGTATAAAAGCTTACGTAGAGATAGATCGCTAAAACGTTAATATGTATAAATTAAATGTAGGTTGTAAAAATACAAAAGATGGCGTTAGTATGGTAAATATATTAACTCTAAGGCTCATTGATTGACACAACAGAAAGACGTAAAAATGTATGGGATAAACAACTGGCCAGTACTGGGAACAGGATTTCTCAATGGGTAGTGGTTTGGAACCATAATTGGTAGGGTGCAAATTCGAGGTTTCCTCGTAACATGTTGGTGTGTCTTTGAATAAGACACTTTATCCCAATTCTTTCAGTCTACTCAACTGTATAATGGGTACCAGCGGGTAGCTCAAGATGAACTGGAATTCCATCCAGGTAGAATGTGTCATCTACCTGTGGTATTGAAACTCGATTTCAACACCGGCGTTCGTGTGCTGTCTCGGGATGGGCTGAAGTTGACAGGTCAGTAATACGCCATTGTTGTTTTCCTGGATCAAGACTTGTGAAGCAAGTTCTCTACTTGTATAGTAATCCTGAATAAGAAGCGATGACAAAGTTTGAATGGATCATGGTCGCAGAGATTTTAGACAATTCCTTAATATGGCGACTAATCAACACTAATATATCTAGTAAAAATGTATAAGTTATCTAGACCATTATTCTAACATATTCTGGTAAAACCTAAATACGTCGAACATCATTTAGTAATACGTAGCGTAATGTGCTATACAGGAACGGACTTGCCATCTAGTGTCTATACAATACACCATAAAATTGCAAAAATTATAATATTTAGATGGCATTTTAACTTATTAGAAATAATAATTTATATTGACCACTGCTAAACCCTACTGAAAGTGAACTATTTAGTTCATTGACATTTAGTTAAGATGTCTTACATAATTTTAGTGAGCACATGTTGTTTTCAAATTTAATTCAATTATTCTCTTAACGTATATAACGCCTTTCCTGGAAGAGAATGGCACATATTACTACGAAGTCATTCATTTAAAATTTGTGATAAAAATCACGTTAAGTGTAGGTAACTTTTTATTATATCTTTTAATTTGGACGTTGCTGATTCAAAATGAGAGGCCCAAACGACGAGTACTTGTATTAAAGAAAATATCTTTTGGGCAGTGAGTGACTCGTGGGAGACAAAACATAGATCTGAAACACTATTTCTACAAGCCTTTGACCTTGAATCCACAATGGAAAAATTAAGAAGAATGTGGAAAACAGCAACAACACATTTTGGACCTACTGGCTTCTAATACTTCGCCAGCTTTCGGCGTTTAAATCGTAACTGTTTTTATCATTCGTGTTTTACAACATACTTGATAATACATGCGCAGAACAACAGCAGCGTTTCATTGGAAACACCAATTGTTGCAAGATGATTTTATATTCTAAAAATAAAAATTAACTGGACACTTCAGCCCACGTTTGCACAGGACTGGCGAAAAGCAAGTGAGTATAATAAAGCAACTATATGAGTTTCCCATCAACGACTTAGTTTCTTAGGCCAATAATCGCGTGTTACCACAGCCTTTTAAGCTAGTTCCCAATAATCGCATGTTATCACTATTTTGTGAAATAATATATTTTGTTCTATCTTCTTCTATTAACAAAACTTTAATTTTTTCCATTTATATTTTGGTTAATAAATATTTGCTCTTAAACATAGCAAGCAGTACCGCATTTTCCTAATTACTGTGTTTTTTTTCTTGAATTAGCCTCGTTTTTTGGAGACAGTTATGTTTCAGTACCATTTCAAGACGCTAGTAGTGTCACCAACGTCTCTTTTCGATTCAAAACCAGTCGTAGTGAAGGGTTACTATTTCTGGCGTTAGGCCCTCCAGACTACTGTCTAGTTATTCTTGAACATGGAGGAATAAAGGTAAACCAGTAATAATATTGAATTTAGTCTCTAATGAATATAAGTTACTCTTACGTATAATAAAAAAGTCTAGTTTCTCATTAGTCCAGTCGAACGTGATAAAAATGCTTTCTAAAGTGTCGTTTTTTGTCCAAAACATTTAACCTGTGTTGTCCCAGTAAGGTGATTCATTAATACCACAAAATTAAATCAGGTAAAATCTGATCGATAGCTGATGTTGGTTACAGACTAGTACATTGTTGTAACGTATTTTATCATTGGGCTGATTCTTTTGGATTACCTACTTACTAAAAATAATGCCAAGTTCAGTTCTCGTAACGATAACGAATTCATTTATTTCTTCTATTACGAATTGATTAACTTAGTAGACGCAATAACTATTACTAGAAACACTGAACTGAATCATTCATTAAATATTTCACTGAATTCTCACACAGATTATTCGTATTTATAATATACTCTGGTTTCTCCAAATTTCACGAAATTTCTAGATTGTTACATCATCATCATCATCCTTATAAGCTCCTCCAGTAATCACCTGAATTAAAACACTCGAAATGAATCAAGTTTATTTAAGAAATAGAAAGAAACTGTACTTACACCATACAATTGAATTTAAAATACACATATTTTATTTCTAATATATTAGCTAAACCTAAATCTAAACAAAAAATAAATTAAGCCGAAAATATTTTTCTTTACCCTCAATAAAGTAGAATTCTGTTTATTGATACTGTTTTGTATTTTAGAGTTTAACATTCATAAAAAACTACAATTTTTTGACAATTAGAACAAAATACCATCAACACCGAATTACTCGAATTAAGAACTAAGCAGAAGAAACAGAGAGCATTTGAACAAAATTTTCAACACTTCTGAATAGTTTCTGCTAATAATCACAAGTAAAACACTTTAGGCCCAACGTAATTACATCATTTAAAATATTTAAAAACGACATATAGGTCGGCAGTATAATCGCGAGATGAGCCTTATTGTAGTATAAGTGTTAACACAATAAATAAATAAAATAAATGGATAACAAAATCAATCTAAAATATTAAATTCCCGCGATATCTACTAAAGTAAATACTTTAAAGTTAGTTTATTTCTCGGTTAGTTTGGAATCCGTAAAATCTCTAAAAGATCTGCTACCACCATCTTGGTTGTTTGGGGTGTATATTTGAGAGCTAAAAAAAGAAGGTAAAAACATCGTCAGACTTGTAACTTTTTACTCAACAAAAATAACTTAATTGTTATATTTTTAATCTGTCAAATCAAATACCACATCACGTGGGCATTCTTCCCATCTGTTTACTTGACATTAATATATATTATATTTGAATGTAAAGCTAACTCATTTTTGATTATTTCAAATATAAATATGGTCCATCAGCAAAAGATAAATTTATAAAGCAAAGAGACTTTTTATCAAATTTTAATATGTATATTATTGCGTTGAGTCTGCACATAGATGGCGTTAGTGCTTTTCATAATTGTTAATGAAAATATTGGTCGAAATATCTATATGGTAAATACTTTTTTCCATAGATGGCAGTACAGGTAATTACTTAAAAGTATTTTATATAAATTATTTCAGAAAGTTACTATATTTTTAGGTTATTGATTCATGTAAAATAAGATTTTTTTAAGAATTAAAATTTGGTTTTGTTATAATGTCCACAGATAAGCTGAGTAATACTTAACAAGAACACAAAATACAAGATGAGTTGAAGTCTTGAATCCAGTGTGAATTAGTTACATTAAATGTTTTAAAGTCGTAAGAGCGTAAGGAAAAGATTAGTTATGAAAAATGATCCAGCGTTTTCTGGAGATTACCAGGAAAAATTAACCATAAAAGACGTACTTAGATGCATTGTATAAAACTTCTACAAGTTTATGGGCGCTAGTTGTCCGCAGTTGGGTAAATATATAACACGTTAAAAAATCTCAACATTTAACATTGTACTAGTATTATTTGTAATTGTAGTCAATTTTCTGAAAATCTGTAAGGAGTGTTGACTAAATGCTTTTTTGAATATGATTTAAAACTGTTACTTATATAGGTATGAATTTAGGGAAAGGTTCAACTGTTCAGATTTGGGTGGAAGATATTTTGAAAAGAATGTTACCAATTACTAAATGAAAATATTACGTAGGAATATTTTTTGTATGTTTAAAATATTTCAAATAAAATATGATGTATCATCATTGGGAGTTCTTATTCAAGTTAAATATATAAATTATTCTTAGTTATGAATGCTTTATTCATGAATTTTAGATTCGCGCAAAGCAACAAAACGAGTATCTATGCTAACCGTCCCTAATTGTGAAAAGATAGACTGAAGGGAAAACAGCTAGTCAACAGCACCCCCGCTAACTTATGGGCTACTCTAATTTGACCGTCACTCTCGTATTGCGCCCATAACACACAGTACGGATGCAATTTTTTTGCGCAACAGGACATGAGCCCTCAGTCTGATATGCTAACTTTAAGGTCTCTTTTTTTTATATAAAATAACTTATTATGTTGTTAAAGAATTTCCTCTAGACTTAATGGTGTCCTAATGGTCAGCGGTGTGTTTACAGACTTAAAACACTAAAATCTGGGGTGCTGTTTCCCGTGATGGACAGAACGCAGATAACTTATTGTATAGCTTTACGCTAAACACAAACAATCAGTCTTCTTAAGGAAAATTTATAATGTAGAATAATGTTTAGTTCACCATAAAGTTTTGAAATATATTATTCACATTATTTTCCCGTTAATATAAATAATGGTCGGATTAACTGAAACTCTAGTTATGATAAGTTTTCCGTGTGAAATGATTGATTATTTGATAATCCTTTTTTTTTTCTTTCTGAAGGTACGCATTAATCTTGGATCTGGAGAAGAAATGTTGACATCTCCACCAGGAATTCGATTTAACGACCTTTTGTGGCACGAAGCGAAAATCCATCGAGTCGATGGGGAAATAATCCTCGTAATAGACAGGATCTACGAAACATTCCTACATGTTTCTGGTCGTTTTTTCGAGTTAAATATCAAGTCTGGAATCTTTCTAGGGGAGTTAGGAAATAACAACGATGGTTTTTTTGAAAACATAGCGAGTTTCCGAGGGTGTTTAGAAGATGTAAAATTTAACGAATATGATATGTTACGTTTCGCAATGGATTCCTTAGAAAAACATGTCTTTGGAGTTACTTGGGACTGTAGAGAAGAATTTCAGTCACCATCACTTGAACCAATCAGTTTTGTTGAGCCCGGGGCATTTATAGCTTTACAAACTTTAAAGGCTAGAAACGGGGGCAATTTTACATTTGAAGTCAAAACCAATTCACAGTTGGCAGTCTTACTCTATAATACCGGAAATACTCCAGAAACAGATTTCATTGCCGTAGAAATTGTAGAGGGTCTTATAATTGTGTCTATTAACGAAGGTAATGGTGTAGTTGAAATTCAGTCGGATGTTGTGGTTAGTGATGGCGAATGGCACTATGTGGAGGTGGACTTCAGTCCTATGTTTTTGGAAGTTGAGGTCGATGGCAAACGTGAGTCCCTCCGACCAAGTGTAGGACAAAACCGCTTTTTTGACCTTGACGGTTTCTTGTATTTTGGTGGAATAGAGAAGAATAAACAGTCCAGGGCCTTGCAGCAGGGTATAAAATCTCTGGTTCTAGGAAGTACAGGTAGTTCTTTAGGTGGCTGTCTGCAAAATATTAGACTAAACGATCAACTTGTAGGCCTACAAGAAGTTCGAGTTAGCCGGGGCATTCAGCCAGGTTGTGTTTGGAAGTATCCATGCATCCATAGTCCATGCGTTCCTGAGGCTCACTGCTTGCAAGACGGTTTAGAAAATTTCCGCTGTGTTTGTGATAAGCCAATTTGTGTAAAGGAAAATTTCACTGCAGGATACAAATTGTTTGCCAAATCGTTGCCTATTGATGTTGAAATTTTGGCACTATATCCCTTAGAAATTGCAGAAGGTGGAAGTGATGTTATAACTTCTGAAAATATAAAAATGATAGTGGATTTTCACAAATACGGAATAACTGAATCAAGTGTTATTTTCCACATTATTGATCCACCTGAGCACGGATTTCTGGAAGTTGAAATCTGGAAGGGATTATCGGAAAACTTGTTTACGTTATCTAACTTGATCTCCGATAATGTTCGTTACACGCACGACGGGACTGAACATTACAATGACCAAATCGTTTTCGAATTGGAATTTAGAGCTCAAAACTATCGTTTACCCCCATTTCTAGAAAAACGGCGCCAATTTCTTTTCCACATAAAAATATCCCCTGTAAATGATCCCCCGAAATTGACGGTGTCCTCAGATCAAAAGTTCAGACTCCCAAAACACACAAAGAAAACAATAACTGCTAACATTCTTCAAGCTAGTGACCCAGATAATGAGGAGTCCGAGATAGTTTACACATTAGTGAACCTTGGCTCAAAAAACGAAGGTTTCTTTGAAAATGTTAACTTTCCCGGTAAAGACTTAAAATCATTCACCCAAGAACAAGTAAATAAGAAGCTTATTAACTATGTTCATCGTGGACCGGCAAGCTCGCGGATTGCTTTCCATATTTCTGATGGAATAGAAGATGGACAAACTATGGTTTTACACATCGAAGCATTTGACTTAATACTTTCTCTAGTTAGGAGTACTGGTGTGAAGTTACCTTACAAAGGTCACGTCCCTATAACAACTGATAATCTTACCTTTACGACTAATTCACCTGATCAGGATCTAACCATTCACTATAATATTACTAGTTTACCTCGATTTGGCAGTATCCAAAAACGACGACATGATGGTCGTTGGCGAACTGTTAGTCACTTCACTCAACGGCAGATTAATAAGGGTAAAATCAGATATCTCCATACATCCGCGAAACCTTCTCACGACGAATTTAGTTATATTGTAGTTTGCGCGAAAGTTAAGCTCCAAGAAGCTTACAGTTTTAATATTAGTTTCATTAATTTGATTTTGATGGAAGTAAAACGTGACACGCTGTTGTTGGATAGCGTATTAGAAACGCCACTGACTTTGAAACATTTGAAATACAAAACAATGCCTTTTGTCGTCGAGTTCCAAAATATTATTTACATTATAAAGTCGATTCCAAAATATGGACTTTTGTACCTTGCTTCTAGCAGAAGACCTAAATTACGACACCATAAAAAACTACACGAAGGGTCTGTTTTTACTCAGGCAGATATAGAAAATAAACGTGTTTTTTACAGGCTAACTCGCCAGTCTTATTCATCTTTAAACGACAGTATTACGTTTGAAGTGAGCTGTTTTGGTACGACCACAGAGCCTGAAGAGTTTTCTATTCACTATCGTCCACTGGAAACGAGTATTACTGTTGAAATAGAGAGATTGACTGTTGTTGAAGGAGGACAAGCAGAAATCGGGAAAAGTAATATACGTATAGATAGTCCACATTCACCTAACATGATATATAATATAACGACAGAACCCCAACATGGTAAGCTTATGTTAATAAATGCAGGCGAAACAACAGATTCACCGACTTCATTTACTAATGTAGATATACAAGAAGAAAGACTTGTGTATGTTCATGATGATTCGGAACACGATGAAGATAGTTTCCAATTTATCGCTTATCCACAGAATTCCAAAAATGATGCTGTGTTCTATGGAACTTTGCACATTGAGGTGATCATGAAAAACGACAACCCTCCAGTCCGAACCGTTGAGAGGATCTTTTGGGTCCAAACAAACGGAGAAAAGAAACTAACAAAGAAAGATCTTCGATACGAAGACAAGGATATCAACTGCTCTCCTGCACAGATTCAGTATACACGACGAACTATACCAAACGGTGCGCTTTACCACACCAAAGATTCCAGTGTCCCAGTGTTTCAGTTCACACAGGAAGATCTCAATGAAGGGAAGATTATTTTCCGGCATAATGGTCAACTTTATGGGAAGACTGTCCTTTGGATTACGGATGGACAGTTCTTTGTAACTGGAATATTAGAAATAAAAGCTTCGGAACCTTTTATCAATCTTACTAGAAACACGGGGTTGGTAGTGAGAAGAGGTGAAAGTGAAGTGATAACTCCTCATAACCTGAGCGTGGAGACTAATGGAGACTCTAGTAAGAGTGAAGTAACGTTCAAGATTGTGACTATACCTCAACACGGTAACATTTTAGTCAGTGGGAAAAAAGAAAACCAGTTCACAAGTACAGATATAGAAAATAGTAACGTTGAATATGAGCACGACAACGGATTTGCTTTCTTGGACGTTTTTGGATTCGTAGTTTTTTTGGATAAGTTGCACATCGAAGGTGTATTTTCCATAAGAATATTTCCAGTTAGTTATTGGGAGCCTTTACAAGTTTTGAGCAACAAAACTTTACATGTTAACGAGGGCAGAGAAAGAAAAATTGAACCCACGCTCTTAAATGTTGCTCATAACAATGTAAATCCAATTAACATTGAGTACACCATTACTTCGGGCCCTTTCCATGGTCAGCTAAGACTAAATAATTCAGAAAAATTGTTTAACGAGGAAAACCACGTCTCTAATCTTAGATTTACCCAAGCAGACATTAATGAAGGTGCGTTAATATACAAGCAAACAAAGAGTCGTGTTACAAATGACAGTTTTGTTTTCGATGTTACGAATGGAGTTACATCGTTACAGAACCAAATGTTTTTCATTGACATAATTTCAAAAATTATTTTGTTGAAAACGGGAAATATTACTTTACAAGAGGGTAAATTTGTGGCTCTGAACGAATTCGTGTTAGATGTGGCCAATCCTTATTTCAACCAGTGGATCTCGAATTATTTAATCATAGAACCTCCAAGAAATGGACAAATAGTGAACGTTAAAGCTCCTGATAGTACAATCAGGGTGTTCTCTCCTTTACAGTTGAAGAATGGCCTCATTTACTACAAACATGATGATTCGGAGACAACGCGGGATTGGTTCACTATAGTGGGAAGAGCTGCAGACTTAAGCAAGGAGAGTGCACCCAGTACTATTCACGCCCGTGTTACTCCTCTTAATGATGAAGTCCCTTACCTAGTTAACAACACCGGATTAGAGGTATGGGAAGGATCTTCAGCCCCTATAACTAGTCGCCATCTAGCGACAGCTGACGATGACTCTGATCCGAATGTCTTAACTTATGAGATCTCTATACCAAGAAACGGATACGTTTCGTTGAAGACGGACAACAAAACTCCCGTTCTTAAGTTTACACAGGACCAAATAAACAGGGGAATGGTAATTTTTATTCATACAGGTAAGTCTGGTAAATAATATTGTAAAAACTACAACTCTTACAAACACCCGGCGTTACCAATTCTAACTAAATCTGATCCTAAAACTACTCAATATCTAGGTCATTTAAGAAGAAATATATGTAAGTCTTAATAGTTTTTATTGCTGAAATAATAATTACATTTATAAAGTTGTTAACGTTTGACATTGTTGTTCAAGTTTGGTGTAAAAGTTAATTTTTGTGAAGTTTGCAATTCTTAACTGCCTTCTATACCAGGGATTTCCAAACTATCCCAATTAATGTCCGACCTAAGTAGCCAGATAATTTTCTAGGTACCATGCTTAATTGGGGGAGGAAAGGGTGTTACTATTTAACTATATTTCAGTGTAGTCTATTAGTGTACATATATTTTGTTTCAGTTTTGGTTGTTCAAAACATCTTAGGATTATTATTTGATAAATAATTATAAAACAAAAATATATTTGTTTTATTGTGTCTTGTTATACGAACCACAGTTTAGAACAGGGGTTCCCAACTAGAAGTGAGAAATGCGGGTCAGGAGGTGCGCGGAAGAGGCCTATACAAGTTCCGTTTTCCCCCAAATGTCGCCCAGAGGAAATGTCTAATGCACACTTTTTAGGGGAGGGGTGCGAGGGCCACAAAAGTTTGGGAACCACTGGTTTAGAATATGCTTTTCTATACAATTTTTAAATGTCTGTTTCAGCACTTTGAGTTTATAAACCTAAACACCTGACTTTGTGCTTTCTTCAATCGCTTAGTTTCAATATACGTTATACTAATATCGTATATCTATCTATAAACTTATAGGAGAAAGAGCCGGAGGATTTCGATTCCAAGTTAATGATGGTCTCAACAAAGACTCCCCCCACGTGTTTACCATCACAGCAAGAGAGTTGAAGCTAGAAGTTAAGGCCAATGTTCTTCTAAGAGTATTGCCTCGAATACAACAGTCAATAACACAAAGTCACCTTTTAGTTGAAACAAATAATAAAAATTCCTCTCGACAGATTATTTACTATGTCCGTCGTTCCCCTCAACATGGAAGAATTCTTCTAGAAGATCATGATGGTTCAGTTTCTGAAGTTTTTCAATTTACTCAGAATCACGTGGATAATAATATGGTATTATATGAACACACCAAGCCTATGACTGACTTGAACGTTAATGACACAATTATCTTTGATATCCAAACTGAGCATGCGTCTCCCTTGAGAGGCGTTGAATTTAACATAGAGATATCTGTAGGGACATTTACTGCCAGCGATCTGCAAAAATTAGTTCAAGTAAACCCATTAAAAGTTGAAGAAGGAGGTAATATTTACATTGGAAAGGAACACATTGACCTTCATTCTTTACTGACGCTGTGGGAAGAAAAGGGGAAAAGAGAGTTTATCAACAAACTGAAGCTAAGAATAGAAGAATTACCAAAAAATGGTTGGCTAGATTTCCGTGATAAAAACGAAACGTTGCAAAATTGGGTTTGGCTTAATCGCGAAACAATTGACAAACGATTGTTATCTTACAACCATGATGACTCGGAATCTTTTACAGATAATTTTACTTTAGGATTTTTCATTTTAGAGGAAGGCAAATTCACGGGTATACCACCTTTTAATAAAACTTTATTTGTAGAGGTTTCGCCTGTAAACGATCACCCTTTTCAACTCCTAACGAAATCACCCACTTGCGACGTTGTTCAGGGACAACGATCTCTCATTTCTTCTCGGGAATTATATACCAAAGATGAAGATGGACTTCCTAACAACATTACATATGAAATAATAAGTAACGCTAGCAATGGCTTCGTTGTTCTGGGACAGAACAGTTTATCAGCTGTCCAGAAATTTACTCAATCGGATATAAATAAAAATTTAACCTACTTTTATCACGATGGAAGCAATCAGTCTGGTTCGTTTCACTTCAAAGTTTTTGATGGGAAATATGAACCAGTTTACGAAACTTTTCACATCAGGCCGATTCCTCTAACTTTAGAGCTATTGAATATCTCTCGAGTGGAAATCGTGCAAGGTTCATCTGTAGTGTTCTTTCAACCTAACAATCTGAATGCTGTTACAAACGGAGATAGACAAAATATTTGGTATAACGTTACCTCTCCACCAATGTTTGGACATATATTTCTTGGAGACACTTTGGCAAGTAACTTCACCCAACACGATATTGATATGAAATCTGTGTTTTACACACAGGTGGACATGTCTGTTTCAGAGGATTATTTTACTGTGTCATTATTTTGTTTAGATGTTGAGGTCCCAGACAGAGTGGTCAACATTACCGTTATCCCCCTCGTGTCTCAGAATGACTTACAAATATCCACTGATAGCCAAGCGGTTTTAACTCTAGAACAATTGGATGCATCCAGATTAGCTGAGAAGACGGGAAGCAATCCAACCTACTCAGTCGACGCCAAACCTAGGTTTGGTGTTCTCCAATTTAATAACTCATTTCGAAAAAAACGAGATGCGGAGATAAATCTGTTCACCCATGAGGATATTGTCAGAGAACGAGTCGTATACAGAATCACAAATAGGGATTTTGAAGACTCGACTACTGATAGCTTTAATTATATTCTAGACGCTCCTGGTGTCCAGCCCGCTCGTGGAAAGTTTGTTTTTATTATTCACTCACAAAAAAACAAAACCGTTTCAAATGACACTGAAATTCCCCTTTCTCAAGATACGAAGTTCATTGAAATCAATAGAAGAAATGTGACAGTTCTGAAAGAAGATGATGTTGGAATGAGTATACTTCTGTTCACTGATGAATACATCATAATGATAGGAGTTATTGTGAGCATTGTTGTTGTAGCTTTAATAGTATTATTTATTGTTAAGTGTCGCCAAATTCAGATGAAAAAACGAATGGTATGTAACAACAATCAAGATAGTAAACCGCCTGGAGCTCGCACTATACAGGCGGAACTAAACACTGAATGTTTACCTTCAGATAGTAGTGTATCTTTGTCTGATGACCTACCCCCTCCAGTTCCTCCTACGTCACCGTCAAGCTTTGGAAGCCATAGTGGCAGTCAATCCCCCAAATACAAAAACTATCTTAAACAAGAACAGGATAACAATATATTAACACCAACACCACCTCCACGATCTCCTGAAGACACTGAATGGACAAGAGTCACATCAAAGGTTCCAATGTGTAAGGTGACTCCTCTCAATCATCAAAATTGTCCTCAAATTGATGAACCGTTAGCAAAGGAAGTGCCCTCGGACATCATTGATAATGAAGAATTGGACAGGTATAGTAGCAAAAATGATTTGCAGTACGGACCTATTTGTAATCCTTTACTAGGAAAAACACAATATTGGGTATAATGTACGGGTGTATTGTGCAAATGACCTCATTGTAGACTTGAAAGTGTTATCAGGTCTCTTATACATGACCTAAAATTCATTTGAAAATGATTTATTGAACTGTATTTTATTCTGATTGCTTTCAGTAACCCCTTTGGTATTATGAAATGACTCAAACGATATAATTTTTATAAATATCGCCGTATTCGATGTAATACGTTTTTTGTGTGTTCTGTGTTGAAAAGTAAATTCCCACAAACCAAAACGAGGACGTTTCGTAAAGAGTAAATCTCTTCTACACGTACAACCTAAATCTTGACAGGATATAAACAGAAGCTACCTTGTTTTCTGCATACCCCCAGTCCCGTTTGGATATCATTATATACCTTGTTTTCTGCATACCTCCAGTCCCGTTTGGATATCATTATATACCTTGTTTTCTGCATACCTCCAGTCCCGTTTGGATATCATTATATACCTTGTTTTCTTCGTTAGTATGCGAGTGGTTTTGTTCTAACTTTTAATTTTGAACCTTCGTCACCAATTCGTGATTACTCAGTATTCTGATTTATTTGTTCTTCTCACTTTGGTCTGTTTTATTCAGAAAGTTTGATCTGGATTTTTTTTAACACGTGGAGATAAAACATGTCTATAACGTTGCAGATTATAAAATGAATAAAGAACTAACTGTGTGATGCACATACGTATTTTATCACCAGGACCTACTTTATTTTAAAAGCCAACAATGAAAATAATCAACAATAAATTGATATTTATCTGTCAGTATTATAAGAATTTAACATGTGGTAATATTTACTGATAGGCACTGTTAAAAAAATGCAAAATATTGTCAAAACCGAAACGTATTTAAACTGAGGAAACATCTTAACCATTGACAGAGATTCGCTCTATTGTGTATATATATATCTATATGTTTACCTGTAAGTAAACCAACAATATTCAGAATAACATTCTTCCTTGAGACACCAATAATATAATATACGGGAGTTCCGTAATTTTATAATAATGTTACTTACTCGGTTTATCCTGGTAATTCAATGTGAATGATATCGTAACATATCAATTGTGGCATATCATAGTCTTTAGTTTTCAAAAACTGGAGCAAGACTCAATATTTCCAAGAAAGGTTAAGCACGTTCTTCAGGTAAGACTCAAAACGTTGTATATATATATATATATATATATGTATGAATTTAAGTTCTGTATTTGATTTGTTTGTTTTTAAATATTTTGTTTGATGGTAAATACAAGAGTAGTGTTTATTTATTGTAATGTTTTATATTAGAATATAAACGAACGATTAAATAACTGGTTAACAGGAACTCAGTACTCAAGATTCAATGATAATCTATATTTTTACTTATTCCATTTTTTTATTACTGAACTGAACTCCCTGGTGTACATTTAATTAACTATTTCCATAAAAGGTGTAGGGTATGTTCTTTTTTTTTAAATCTCGTTTTTAGCTGTTTGTACTTTTATAATTTAATATTCGGTATACCTCTTTCTACATATACAACTTTGAATAGTTATCAGTCTTACTCCATGTTAATATTGTTAATGTGTGATATAAATATGTGCTGTTCTTCTCATCAACGTATTTTATGTTTTTTTCAGTCTAATTATTTTTATTAATTAGATTAGCGTGGTTTTAAACTTTTGTAATTAATTTTTTTTTGCAAAAGTAGCCTTTCATAACGTGACATACAAAAGCTTAGTTTTGTTACTTTGGGGAAAAAACAAATTTATTTTTGACTAAACGGTAGTTTGCGGGCTTATAATGCTAAAACCTTGGGTTATATCCCCGTGGAGAACAGAGCTCTAAAACAGTATTAGCAAACAATAAAATATGTAAACTTTTTCGATTCACCTTTCCTACGTTTTCAAGTTCTAAAAAGACTTCAAACACCTAAGTAATAATCTAAACTGGCCTTAAATACTGAGAGAAATAATTAATTATATTTTTAATGTATCATATTAATTCAAGTTGAATAGATGTGACCTATTGTTCGAATAAGGACTCCTAATTGAAAATTTCCTTGTAGCATCGTATTAATCTATTCGTTAATTTCTTGAAACAAGCTTATAATTCAAGATATAAATATTTCTCATCACAGACATTATTGTATGTTTTTTACGTCTAGTTAGCACCCACGGTAAAAAGAAAGTCTCACATGTTAATAAAATTTCAGTGTGTATGTGTGTGAAATCATTATTATCAAGAGAAGAATTAAGAAGTAAAGTCATTGTTGTTGTTGCAAAATCTGTGAGATTAACTCTGTTGGGACTATTAATAAAGTATTGTTTTATTACTACTATTATTATCAATATTTACTCTATATGTACGTCAGGTCTCCCGGTATTGTTTTATTACTACTGTTATTATCAATATCTACTCTATGTGTACGTCAGGTCTCCCAGTGAACCAGCGGTAAGTCTACGGATTTACAACTATAATAAGGGGTTCAATTCCCCTCAGTGGACACAGCAGATAGTCCGATGTGACTTTGTTATAAAATACACACACTCACTGTAGGTCAGTCATGAGAAAATTAATAACGATACAAAGCAACTATCTACGGTTCGAAAACAACAGTTACTATAAAAATACTTCGGATTCCATTGAAATGACTTAATAATTTGGAACATAGTGTTTAATTTCTGTAGTGCATGTTGGTGTACAGAATACATTTGAATACTAGAAATAAACGACCTTATAACACTAAATTGTTGTTTTTATTTAATTGGACACACAACGTTTCCCTTTACAGCTTCTTCAGGAGCGTTCCACTAAAACACAAACCGTAGCTTCGTACTGTCAGTGAAACGTTGTGTCTAATTCAATAAAAACAATTTGGTGTTATAAAGTCGTTTATTTATGGTATCAATACATATTATGTACCTGACTAACGGAACAAATATATATGCGAATGCATAATATCAGTGTGTGTGTGTGCCTGTGTTTTTAAGACCTTGAACAAAATATTAAAAGCACCTTTAGTAAACATTTATATTAACACCCTTGCGTACTTGATAGGCCCGATATTTCTATTCACGTGGCCCATATGAGCATACTTTGGTAAATCTTCCACGCTGAATCCAAACGTGAACAGAAATACAAACCATACAACTGGATTCAGTGTGAAAGATTTACTACCAAAGTATGCTCATATGGGCCACGTGAACAGAAATACAAACCATACAACTGGATTCAGTGTGAAAGATTTACTACCAAAGTATGCTCATATGGGCCACGTGAACAGAAATACAAACCATACAACTGAATTGAGCGTGAAAGACTTACCAAGGTATGCTCATATGGGCCACGTGAACAGAAATATAAGCCATACAAAGCCCATATGAGCATACTTTGGTAGTAAATCTTTCACACTGAATTCAGTTGTATGGTTTGTATTTCTGTTCACGTAGCCCATATGAGCATACTTTGGTAGTAAATCTTTCACACTGAATTCAGTTGTATGGTTTGTATTTCTGTTCACGTAGCCCATATGAGCATACTTTGGTAAGTTTTTCACACTGAATCCAATTATATGGTTTGTAGAGACTTTCTTCAGTAAATCAAATAAATTTAAATGTTTGATATTTCACCAAATTTCCCAAATTTTCTTGGTTCTTAGGAACAAAAAATGTCTGGTCGCGAACAGGTTAAAATCAACATTAATTTACCACAAAAGAAGAACATACGTAGAAGAATGTTGCGACGTAGTGTTTCTGACATTATAAAAGAGACTTATCACAGCACTGTGGGTGTCTAATGAGTTAATTACCTTTGTACGGTTGGCTTGAGTAGTTGCAAAACAGGTTTTAACCATTATCGTGATTGCAAAAGCGCGTGTCACGTGCGTACGACAACAAAGTCCATTTTTTGAAAACACACACACACACACACATATATATATATATATATATATATATACTCATGCTGATATCTTCACGGCGTCAAGATATAACAGCTACTGTTGTTAACTACGCTTAAACTCGTATAATTCTGTTCAATGACAGAGGTAACTCGCGATTCTTGAAAAATAAAAAAATATTTTAACTGCAAAATAGACAATGGACACTGCTATTCGCCCTTTAATCGCTAAGTGTACGTTTATTATTATTGAAAATAAAATAACTGGCTTTCCGCGAAAACAGAACGTGGATTACGTCATCCTCAAAACAGAACTAAATATGCCTTCATTGTGTGTTTTTCGACCACTTGGCCGCGCCCCAGAACCGAGCCTTGTTTCCACTCTGGGCTGCGTGGAATTTTGAAATTGGCATCACCATAAATATATATACGAAACGTACGGTATTTCAGTAAAATAAACAAACGTCATACAGTTGAAAATTATACATATAAATACACACATATACGTATATATATACACACACACACGCATTGTAACGATGTTACACGATGTAAGACGATGTGGAAATACAATAACACTCACCAGTAAAAGTGGTTTGTGGCAATTCCTTGTTGGAATAAAGTGGTTTGTGGCCATTTCTTGTTGAGATAAAGTGGTTTGTGGCAATTCCTTGTTGGAATAATATGGTTTGTGGCAATTCCTTGTTGGAATAAAGTGGTTTGTGGCCATTTCTTGTTGAGATAAAGTGGTTTGTGGCCATTTCTTGTTGAGATAAAGTGGTTTGTGGCCATTTCTTGTTGAGATAAAGTGGTTTGTGGCCATTCCTTGTTGAGATAAAGTGGTTTGTGGCCATTCCTTGTTGGGATGAAGTGGTTTGTGGCCATTCCTTGTTGGGATGAAGTGGTTTGTGGCCATTTCTTGTTGGGATAAAGTGGTTTGTGGCCATTCCTTGTTGGGATAAAAGTGGTTTGTGGCCATTCCTTGTTGGGATAAGTTATGGAACGTTAAGCAAGTGCAAGTTTCTGACTAACTGTTAAATGGTCTGATTTTAGGGTCATGGTAGTTAGAGAAATAGACTCGCAACCTGCGGGTTACAGAGTCGAACCCTGTCACCAAATATACTCGCCCTTTCAGCCGTGGCGACGCTGCAACGTGACGTTCGTAAAAATATATTGCAGATACTAGATTTATCATACCAGAGGCACTTCCATTCTTTTTAACACTCATAAGCTTTAGTTGGGTTTATGATGTATGCTTCGGGCAAGCAATTTAACTCCCAATGAAAGTCTCTGCTATAAATAAGGAAGCGAACCCATTTTTGTCTCTGCATATATATTTTTATTTATTTTCATTACTTTCCTGCATAAAAAAAAAACACTAAAAGAAAATCTTAACATGTTTTTGTAAGTTACGTTTAAAAAAATTACTAAGAAACAATCCTAGATAATATAAGCACAAAATGACAATAATTATGTTGACATTTCAACAATACAAATAGAAGACAAGAAAGGAAGTATTTATTTAATTTTTTTTTCTGACAGTAGAAAAAACAACAGTACAAGTACTTCCAATTGTAACACGGTCTTTACTGCCTGGTGAAAGGACTCTGCTAGAAACTTCGTACAAAATATACAAAGTTTTCATTTAGACGTTTCAATTTATTCTTTATTATCTTTTATAAAACTTCCAAAAAAAGACTATTTCAAAACTGTTGACAGTAAATGAAATAGTTCTCAATAATTGTATGGAGTTCCCCCAGTTTCAGTATAAGTTTTCTAACTCTTAATTATATTATTCAGGACTGTCTTTGTTTGTTTTTATCATTTTTCGCAGCAGGAAAGTAAAACTTCAGAGAGTCATCAGAGCTGAGAAATTAAGAGATCACGCACTGTTCTAGGAAATTTTTCCAATCATACATGACAACCAGCTAAATCTTCGTTAGTACAGCAATAAAATACCAGTTTCACTATACATATATAATGTATACAATACGTATCACAACCATGAATGCTGCAAATCGATATGCATGTTTATGACGGTAATGGAAGTTTAATCCACGTTTACTGGAAATACTGATATAGCAGAAATCCTTAACTTTTCAATCTCACGGACATGGATTATCCTACTGTTAAAAGTCAGTATGATTCCTTTTGTTGAGTGTACTAGTTTATAATAAATATTCCGCCAGGTGGTGAAAGCTATTATAGATCATTATTTATTAAGCACAAAGTTACACAATGGGCTATCCGTGCTCTGCCTACCGCGGTTATCGATACCCTAATTTTTGCGTTATAAGCCTTCAGACTTACCGCTGAACCACTAGGGTGAGGGGGGGGGGGAAGAGTTAAAACAGTTTATCCACTGAAATTAATAACTATAAACATTCGTGTTGAAGCGTAGCAAATGGACAAAGATGACTGCTTCTGTGCTGTATCACTTTGTTATCAGGACTTATGAAATATTTGAGTAATAATTTTAGATTTATAGATTGTAGAGTCTCTTCCAGATTTGTGTATTAATAGTGGGTTGATGAAGATATATTAAAATGGTTCAGAACACCATTTAACTATACCAGCAGGCCTGCTGTTTGACAACAACCCTCATGCCTTACACAGTAAGTACACAGTTTGTTAACCACAAAGATACAAAATGGGCTATCTGTGCTGTGCACACCATGGGCATCGAAACCCGTTTTTTTTTGTGTTTTTTTTTTTGCGTTATAAGCCGGGGGGTGGGGGTAAGACAGTTTATCCACTGAAATTAATAATTATACACATTCATGTTGAAGCAAATGGACAAATATGAGTAAAGCTAGAAGATGTGATGCACTTAATTAAAACAAGGAAATATAAACTAATGATATTAATCTCAATCGGCCATATTGTCTCATCTGGCAACGAGAACATTAACGTTTCAATGTTAAACTTAAATATTATGAAGAGCTCGAGGTACCTACAGTACCGCTAAGCCACCAGGGGGATTATTATATATGAAATATATATTTATTCAAATTACCCTATGATGTTTAAAAATTTAAAAAAAAATGGTACGGTCAATTTCCTTTTCGCTTTCAATGCATCGTTTCGTATAAACATAGTTGTCAAGCGAATAAGTACCTGAAATTAAAAGTGCCAAGCGAAATTTTTTTTAAATCTTACAACCATGGTTCCGGAGTATAATTTTCAGAGGCAGCTAAAACACGATTATACATTTCTCCGCTAAGCTTTCAATTTATAAACGCTGCCAAATTAAATAAGATTACATATCCCTTATCAAATTAATCGTCGAATTATGGCGGGCTCAACTATCGTTACTTCTTTCTGAAACTATCAAAATGGGGATTTAATTTATTAATTTTAAGGTTCCCAGTGAGTCAGTGGTAAGTTTACAGGCTTACAACGCTGAAATTCGGGGGTTGATTCCACGCAGTGGACAGGTCGCAGAAAGCCCATTGTGTAGTTTTGCGCTATAAAACAAAAACAGCCTTTGAAAACTGGATTTTTTTTAGTAGTCATTAAAAGATTATTGATGGCAATATATAGCACTTTAAAATACGAGATTTTTATCGCGAAATACAATATAAAATGACATGGCACGACATGAGTACTTTTCTCTTTCATCAATATAATTTGTAAAACAAAAAAAAACGTACCCTTGACGTCACGAAAAGCATGGATTTCGCTTGATCTTGGAAAGAGCAACTTTTACTGGTTTATGTGAAGTAGAATGTTACATTCAAAAAAGATTTCACTGCCAAATAAACAGTATCTTCCTTTGCATAGCTCGAATTTAGAGAGTTAAATAAATATACTAAAATTTCAGTCATATCACCTAATCATACGCACTGATCTTTAAAGACTGGTTATATAACAACATATCTGAAAACTACTCACTTAAAATAATATCCATAATGTTTCTTAAATCAAAAAGATGCGAAATATTTCATAAACCACTTTTGATGACAACTTAAATAGCGCTTGTGACAAGACCCAAACAGCGTTGTCAGGTTTCGCGAGAGAAAAAAAAAGGGGGGGGGGGCACTGCCGTTTAAAACAAACACAAACCAAATAATACTGACTTTCAAAACTACTCTTTTATGGCTCACCCTCAAAATGGCGATTTCCGCGGCTTAATTGGAATATAGAACGTGTCAAGTGGGCGGGCCAGAAAGTTCACGGTTGTGGGTGTGTTTCTTAATTGAACAGGAGTGGGGATAGGATGATTCTAAAATTGTAGGCTATTCATTAACCCAGTCAATTGCCGAAACCACTCCTACAAACATTTTTCTGTGTGTTGGAATCAGCTATTGTAAAATAGGCCAAAATAAGCGACAACGAATAAAAGAACCCCAACCTACCACTCTCAAAAAATTAAAGCGAAGGCGACTTTAAAAACAAAACAACAACAAAAAAAGCCCAATTCCGCTCATTATAAGCTTATAAGCGAGCTTAGCAACATTGGACCCAGAGTATTTCGCTTTTACAAATAACCTTTTATGACAAAAAAATGAATAATATTATTATTATATTATTTCGATGTGTTTTTTTGTTGTTGTTGTTTTTCTTAATGAATAAAAGCCTGTATTCAACACTAAAGCTAAATGACAAACTTTAATGTCTTTAGATATAACACCCGGTGTTATAATCGATGTCAGCGAAAGGCATACAATGTAGCTGCGGCTGTGGCCAGAATCCCAACTGTTGTGGTCAAAGCTTTGCTAACAATCTGATCCACGTGATTTTCCGGGGGAAAACTCTGGTAAAGACTTCGCTGTAACGAGAGAAAACAGTTGTCAAAGGCAGAACGTTTAATTTCTTATTTAAAACTACAGCTACGTAATCCTTTTGGCTGGAATTGTTCAGTCGATAATACATAAAACGA